GGGTTTAGGGTTTTGTGAATGATGGCACATGATTGCGTCCACAGGAGACTGAAACCCACCATCCATCACAGCGAAGCAGCAGCGACGCATCGAAGGTCGCGCAAGCTTGCTTTGATTTGCTGTTCTACGTGGTGGCCTCTTTCATACCGCACCCCTTGCCACACAGGCTGCACCAGAAAGAGATCATTCGGGGTGTGGAGTCCATTGGGATGTTGCGCTTGGTAAGGTCGAGGGCTCCGGGTTCCTTGAGGGTGCTCGAGTCTGGGTTCAAGGTTTAGGGTTTCAGGGTNNTTCAGGGTTTAGGGCTTAGGGTGTCGTCTTGAGCAGTACATGAACATCACCGCAGAAGAGGCTGTGCGCTCAGAAAGGCCGTCCATGAACCACGACGAAAACGGGTACTCTGAAAAAACACCTCAACAAGCAGATCAAACATGTACACCCTGAGATCCCTTCGGAACCTCTCGCGAAAGAAAACTGAGAACAAGCCCAGACCCATGCACCCTACAACACCCTACAACACCCTANNAAACCCCCTAAACCCCCTCAACCCTAAACCCTAAACACTAGACCCTCCAATCCCCAAAACCCCCTGGTCCTTGTTGTCACCAGCGAAGCAAGTCTGCAAAGCAGCATCCCAGGAGTTCCTGTACCCCTCCGGGTCTCGATGTGCGTTTCGCCTGCAAGGCTTGACAGGGTCTTAGGGTTTTAGGGTCTAGGGTTTAGGGTTTGGGTTTAGGGTTTAGGGTCTAGGGTCTAGGGTTTAGGGTTTAGGGTTTCAGGCTTCCGGATTCGCAGCTTGAGCCGAGGCTCTTAGGGTTTAGGGTTTAGGGTTTACAGTTTAGGGGCTCAAAGGCGTGGGTGGTTCTCAGAAGACTGGCTCCACGCGATGTGACATGGTTGAACGACCTAGGATGGACGGGCGATGTAGGGAACAGGAGTTCAGCGATTCGGGCAAGTAGCTCCAGGCATTAAATCGCAAAGACTAGGAATCGGGACGGAAGATCCGTGATTCAGGCTTAAAGTTAAAAGATTGGGGTTAAGGCTGCGGCTTCGGGCACGAGGGTTGAAAGCTTTGGCCGGCCTCGCATCGTGTCGATGGTGTAGTTCGTTTGGTTGGTAATCCTCAGCTGATGCATGACTCTCCGGCTTATGAAATCACAAAACCAGCCTTGTGCACACAACCTCAAGCGATGTTGTGCTTCATATCAGGGTTTGAGAGAATTGAGAGTCTTGGTGGATCTGTAAGCCTCTTAATACGACGCATTTCCGAGTGCGAGTGGCGAGCTCAATGCAATTGCGGGTGGTCTCGGGTTGCCGAACAAGGATTTGAGATCCCCTGGCGAACTGGGGCTTAAACCCTAAACCCTAAACCCAGAATTTAACGGCTTGCTCCCGACCTTCAGGGCTTGGGGGATAGACATACGTACATACATACATACATACATCCATACATGCATACATACATACATGCATACATACATACATACATACATACATACAATGAAACATCGCTTGGGCTCCACATGCCCATGATGATCACCTTCCGGAAGGGGTGTGCGTACCTGCCAGGGCAGATCATGAATCTTAAACACTGAACCCCCAAGCTGTCCGTCCGTGCATTCTAGAAACCCCAAGCCTTAGACATCAAGGGGTTGGTACACCGAAGAGATACTGGCTTGGATGATCTACACAATGACAAAAGGGGATACTGTTCCTAAACATTAAAACCTCTATACCCTAAACCCAAAATCCTAAACCCTATATCCTAAACCCTATACCCTAAACCCTAAACCCTATACCCTTAACCCTAAACCCTAAACCCTATAGCCCTCAACCCCAAACTTGAAGCCCAAGGCTCCTTGTGCAGATTTTCGTCCGGTCTTTTGTTCCTCGGCCCTGCGCCCCACAGCCCTACAGCCACGAAGGCTGCCAGACAAGCAAGAAGCGATAAGACATGGTTGAGCATTGGGGGGATTCAGGGTTTAGTATAGGGTTTAGCATAGGGTTTCCGGTATAGGGTTTAGACAAATAGGGTTTCGGGTTTAGTGTAGGCTTCAGGCGTCTGTCCTGCCAGGTGGTCCTGGACTAAAATGCCGAGTCGCTAACTCCTACTCCCCTGCAGATCTCCTCCCTTGCAGCTTAACACAACCCATAGAACCTCTGACTCCTACCGCCCAAAGCCAAAGCCAATACCACGACCCCAAAACCCCGAACTCCCGCACCCGCTATCCCCCAAACCATAAACTTAGGAAAACCGCAAGCTCGATCCCCGAAGCCTGCCAGAAACCTCGAGTGCCCGAACGAAACTCTCAGAAACTCACCGAAAACCCCAACAAAGCGGACATGTGCCTAGAAAGAAAGCCTCAACATCCTTCAGACCCCCTTCTGGAGAATCTTATGGCGACCCTAAACCCAAACTAGCCCCCCCCCCAAACAAAAAAAAAAGGAAAGAAAAACTCCCGGGATGCATTTTTTCATTTTTTCTCGGGCCTCAAAGACTCCTCAAAGAAGCTGAAGTCGTGATGTTGGGAGAGAACCTGCGTCGGGTGTTTTTTGGATTCTGAAGCTTCTTTCTGCGTTCGTAGTCTTCCCAGGGTTTAGGAGGGTTTAGGGCTTAGGGTTTAGGGTTGAGGGCTTAGGGGTGTAGGGCTTAGGCTTTCTAGGGCTTAGGGTTTCGGAGGGTTTGGGGCTCAGGCGGCGAAGCTTGAAGGTTTCGGGAGCTTAAGATGGAGGGGTTCAGGCTGAAGACTGGGGGTGCGAAGTGGACTTCTGAGCATTTCGGACTTCGATCTTTGAGCTTGTCCTCGACGTCTCTTGGTTTAGGGTTTAGGGTTTAGGGTTTGGGGTTTAAGGGTTTAGGGTTCAGGGAGTTCGAACTGGCGATGGAGGCTTTGACGATTTCGGAATTCTGGAGGTTGGCAAGGTCCAAAGGATTTCTTGCTTCTGATTCGGTGCCCGCTTCCATCGATGAATTCCCTCAGAATTTGCCGCTGTCACGCAAGAAGACTCACTGTATCTCACTTTCAAACGTCACAATGATTACTGGCAGCGAAAGTTTGCAAGTCCTCCCTCACAATGCTGAATGCGAAGATGCTGACACCCCAATCCTACAAAAACAAAGGGGGGTTGTACAGGCTTTAAGGCGTAGAGTTTTGAAGTCTTTTTTGTGTTTAGAGATACAGGTGTTAGTTTTGGTGTTTAGGGCTTGCGGCTTGGGGATTAGAGTTCAGAGCGCTGCGTTGTGGGCTTTGGGCTTCGGGGTTTGGCAGCAAGTTCTGGGGTGTGGGGTTCGGGTTTGCACACTGGGTTTGGCGTTTTGGGGACAGGGCTCAAGGTTGCAGGGATTTAGGGTTTCGGGGTGTGTGTGTGTGATAGCGTTTGTAGAACCTGAGTGAAGAAGATACTTGATGGGATGGGAAGAGCCCCAAACCCTAAACCTAAACCCTAAATCCAAAGACTCAAGAACGGACAGAGAGGATCAAGCTGGGCCACTCCCAGCGTGACTTCTTGGTCGTCGATCTCCTCGAAAATGTTCTCCGAGGAGCCATGGCGGATGAATTCCACACCTTCAAAACCTCAAGGAGTGCACCCCAAGGTGGACAAGTGCGCAGTGGACAAAGCAATCCTCAACATAATTGTTATCGCCGGTTTCGCAGGTACAAGAAGCAACATCATGAAGGACAACGTCGGGTTTTTATGTCTCGATGCTTCATGTCAGGGTTCGTCGATGGGGGGGATGGTAAGACAACCCGAAGTCCCGAACCGTTTGCAGAACATAAGGGGCAAGCCTGAGAGTTTCACGCTTAAGCTGGGGTTTGCAGATTGAATGCCTTGCCAACAGAACCCTTGCCAGCACAAGCCCTTGAAAGCCCCCAAACCTCCCATGTTTTGCATGGCAGGCGGCTCGAGTTGATAAGCCTCGGCGCACGTCGAAATTAGACCCGAAACCCGAAAGCGTTTTGTTCGGGTGTACTTGTCTGGGATCGCTTATGGAGCTTTCGCAGTCTGAATGGCTGTCTTTAGGCTGTCTTTATGTGGATCTCGCCTGGTGTTGCAGGCTACTGCAAAGCTCTTACTTTGAGAAAAGGCTTGTACTGGGTCCTTTGCATTGAAAGTGACGAACCTAAACCCGAAACCCTGAACCCTAAACCATATTTAAGGGCTCCAGGCGGTAGGTCTGATTGCGGTTCAGGGCGCAGGATCAATGCTTCGAAGTGGGGTTGAGGGCTTAGGTTTTAGGCTTTACTGCTTTCGGTTTAGGGGGTTAGGGCGTTGGGGGGGTCATGGCTTGGGTTCAGAAATTTGGGTTTAGGGTGCAGGGTTTGCAGCTTTCGGTTCAGTATTTAGGTTTACGCTTCAACACAAAGCGCACTGCAAAACCGGAAAATTTGGCGACTGGAGCTGTAGGCTTTGGTGTGGTAAACCCTAAACCCGGGAAAGGGGGGTAGTCAGGGTTGGGGCCTCAGTCTGGCGATTTTTTGGCAGGTCTAGTGACGACTCAACACTGCATGGGATATGGGGATGAGGGTTGAGGGTTGAGGGTTTAGGGTTTAGGGCTTAGTAAACTAAGTCTTGGAGCAAAACATTCAGGATGAAGGCCAGTGTCCTGGGTTTAAGCGTGAAGCTTCGAGATCTACTGTGGTCCTAAGCCCGCCTGATGGCGACCCCTGAACCCTGACGCAAAAGCCCTCTCTGTTTTAAGGTTTAGGGTGTATCGGCCATGAACACCAGACTTTTCTTTGCACAATGGGCAACAGCCACAGACAGGTCCTAGAGTCCTAGAGCCTAACCCCCAATTAAGCCCGAACACCCGAGAACATCACGAAGGCCCAAGCACAACAGAGGGTTGAAGGGCTTGGGGGGTGCTGGGCCTCAAGTTCCTTGTCATAGGACTTAGAGTGCACTTAACCATGAACCCTGAATGGCGAAGACCTCAGAGCCACAATCCTTAGTCGAACCAGCCAAACTTAGACTAGCCGGGGCAGCGTATTCGCATAATTTCCGATCAGAAGTGAATCACCTCTGTACGGCGAGTCCTGCGGCATGCGGCTCTCTGGGCTCAGGGGCTAAGCCTAGGCACAATGGAGGGCCTTCATGCTGTTCATAGCTGGGTGTTGGGCAGAACATATAATTTAAGACAATCTCAGTTTCTAGGGAATCTGAGAGGGCTCATGATTACTACTGTTGATGATATGAATCCTGCATGACCTTAAGGACCCTAAACCACGGGAATTATGGTATATTCCTGATTATGGGTAATGCAGGATTTATATCATCAACCGTAGTTATTCCGACCTCGATGATGCCGTCAAACCCAAGCATTTCAACTCCAAGTCGTGAGTTTTAGAAACAGCACCATCCAAGCCGCATGCGGCTGCGACGGGGTTGAGGGATTTAGGGCAACGAAATTTCGGGTTTAGGGTGGAGGAGGCTCCAGAAATAACCTTCCCACTGCCTACTATAGTTGCCTTCATAACCACAATAAGGCTTTGAGGACCATTACAGTGTAGTGATAGTAAGAAACCCTGGGAGGGAACTATAGTGGTACTTATTCAAGGATCTATAGTACAGCCCTGCAGCTGCTCGCCTCCACTCCACCGAATTCTTCAAAGCTAAGGTTGGCCATAAGCACATCGAAGGCCACACCTTGCGTTCGGCACGGGGTTCTCCGGGAGCATGGGAATTCGATTAGGTGTCTGGGGCCAAGGGACAGAGAGTTTCGGTCTCTGAGACTTTTGGCATTGAAGTTGTAGGTTTGGACGTCCGCGTGCACTTTTCAGACGGCGGAAGCCCCCGTGTCAGAATTCCTGAGGGCATGGAAATCTAGCCCGAAAAGCCAGAACCCAGACTTCGGAATCCTTAAACCCTTAGCTGACGCAGGAAATCCTGAACCCTCCAAGCCCCAGGCCTAGAAACCCTGAGCTTTGGAACCCATGGGCGGGGAAGCCCCTCAGCCACATGGGTCATGAGTGGCTTGAGGGGCTTGGGGGGCTTGGGTTGGGGGCCGGGGTTTAGGTTTCGGGCTTCGGGTTTCGCGTCCAGGGCCCCTTGGAGAGTCAGCACGAGCAGCCCATCACTGTAAGGCTGAAAAACCCTCAATCCCCATTCGCCAGCTCATCTGCCTTCACCTTTCGAACCCTGAAAAGCAACAACCTCCCGGAAAGCTAAACCTCAATCCAGAGTCGTACACCCAAAGCTCTAAACCTTGTTTTGTATGCTGAAGTCAAGGATGCTGCTGATTATTCTGGACTCGGAAGGGGTGCGACGGCAAAGAACAAACACGAGCAGTTCTCAGCGCTACCTCTTTCCCCACAAGCCGTTCAATCCTCAACCTTTGGCCCGAAGACCCACAAATCAACCCCAAGTAGAAAAGGAAAAAGCTAGTCCACAGACCAACACTATACCCCTCATAGCACCCGTAATCTGGAGCATCGCAAGCGGCCAGAGTCTTCTTCGAGCGCTGCATCTTCGTCCAACCTGAGACGTGGCCAGGTTCATGGTTTCGGGTATAGGGTTTAGGGTTTAGGATCTAGAACTAGTTAGGGTTTCGGGTTTAGGGTTTAGGGTTTCGGGTTTCGGGTCAGGGTTTCGGGTTTAGGTAGCAGCCTTAATGTCTTCAATCAGGCTCTCGGTTGCACTGCACTACAACCATGATAAAACCCCTCAGGAGTAGTGTCGGCAATTGTTCCCGCTTCTACATTACACACATGAGCTTCTGTTGCGAACTCATGCAGAGACACATAGGGTTTGAGGGGATGTAGGCATTGGCAGACAACATCCGCTCCTTGTTCCAGCCCTGCAAAGACTACACAGAATTCACCGCAAAGCCTTGGCCCCGAAGTGCTCGGTCCCTGCGCCGTTCGTACTGTTTAAGGGCTTCCACAAAATTGATGCAGGATGGGAACCACCCAGGAAGCGACTTCGGTTTGCTGAAGACGCCCCCCAAACCCCAAGAACAATGTGGACCTGCCTATTCTTTGTGAGGGGACCTCTAACGAAGACAACCGCAAGGCTAGGGATCATTAAAATGATTCCAGGGAGGATGAATAGGTCCCTCTAGCATATAGCACGTCGTCTCTGCGTTTGTCGGCTTTGAGACTGCGTAGCCGAGCAACTTTGAAAGCAGGTACTGTAGCCAAGGGTGCTGTACGTTGTAAATGGCATTGCCATTGATGTGGTAAAGCCTCGGACAAGGACAGGCTTCTGAAAATTGGACAATTCCGTGCACCTCAATTTTGAGGATTACTACGGCAAGGAGGGGTCCGTCTCCCATATAAGTAGAGTTGCTTTCACAAGCGTGTTGCGGCAGTCGTTCAGGACTTTGCTCTGGTTGTTGCGGTCAGGTTAAGGCTTTGCTGTTGGCGGTCAACAGTCCTGAAAAAAATCGAGCTGGGTCAGGATATAACATGTACAGTTCACGCACACAAATATACTTACACACAACTGAACACACACAGACGTACCATTGCAGACAGATGTATAAATCGAAAGACGAGCATGCCGTCTAGGAATGTCGCTGTTATTGCCAGGGCTCCTCTTTTGGATTTCTACAGACTGAGCCAACCCTAGATCCTCAACTCCAACACCACCAACTCGGGTTCAGGATCTCAGGAACTCCGAAAAAAACCTGAGGAGCACTCCATCTCCCTTGGAGAGTTAGCCACGGGAGCCCCTCAAGCTCTAACAGAAAGCTCTGGTTTAGGGTTTAGGGTTTTGGGATCTCAAAGATGTGTGTAAGTGCACCGATGCCCCTTTTCTAAGCAGGATCCGCGCCGGGTAGGCACCACTTTACGCAGTAAGATAGGGTTCAGGTCTCTCGTCAGGGCTCTGGAGAAATGAACAAGCAGGTCGCGAAACATGGGAGCCCGCCAAAAACGAGACAAACAAAAAGGATCATATGCTACAATTTACTACTATATTATAGTACAATATACTATGATATACTACAAAAGACTATGATATATTATAATTTACTATATTATACTATAATTTATTATGATAGACTGCTATAGTACACTATAAGATACTATAATATACTAGAATATTATACTATAATATCCTATCATGAGTCCTACATCTGGGCAGTAAGGGTAGAGACAGGCGTACACCTGTCCTCGCTTCTATCTAACCCGTTCCACCCTTGCGAAAGGCTGCTGTAGTTGCAGGACCAGAACCCTTCAAGTACTACCGTCTACAGTATGGCCTGAACTCTAAACCCGAACCCTGAACCTAAACCCTAAACCCTAAACCCTGAACCCTGAACCCTAAACCCTAAAACCCCTGTCCGAAACCGATCATCCCAAGCCCCCAACTCTGGCGAACTGCTGCCGTGCCACAAATCCGCGGGCATATTTCTTAGAAATGTGTCCCATGTATCTCCTTGCAGATGGGTAGAAGCCAAAGGGTTTCGGAACGGACTTCTGGGATTCGGGTTGACGAAGTTCGTGCTGTTTTGGTCTCTCTTGTTGATTCTCTTGTCCCGTAATGCTTGAGGGCTTCGGAAGTCGTAAGCTGAAGCAATGCTTACATATGCACAGAACTGGCATGCTCTCGGGATGCAGCTGCA